AGGGAGCCCGATGTGGGGCTCGATCCCAGGACCCCGGGATCATGACCTGAGCCGAAGGCAGACGCTTAACGACTGAGCCACCCAGGCGCCCCAGAAATGACCCTTTCTTGCTTTCACTGAACCCACCCTCTTAAAAAGATGGGAAGAAAAGCGAGATGATGTACCTCTGTTGTGCTAATTCCTTGTACTCTAAGAGATCCTCACAGCCAGAAGCACAGAAAGCCCCTCCCACTCAAACGTGATGCCCATATGGGTTATATAAATTCAGGTGGTCAGGTGTTTATTGGGTGCTTTGTCTTAAAAGCTAAAATACACTTACAGTCACATTGGGCTGGAAGTCTGACTCCACATCTTACTGATCTTTTCACTTACCTTTCTGAGTCTGGTTTGCTGCATCTATAAAAGGGGCGGAGCTTGCCCTGCCTGCTTCGTAAAAACTGTGTATAAGTGCTCTGAAAGCCATTTACAAAATAGTCTATAAACAGAAATTGCTGTAATTGCATTGACAGAGATTGAATGGTTTTTCTGCATTGAAAATAGTCATTTTGATGGGAGGGGGGAGGATGTAGGAGAAAGATCAGAAGATGATCATCCTGGAGAGGGAACACATCATTAAACAGCTGTGATAAATAGTGCATGCCTGAGGGGCTAGGAGCCCAGACTGATATGAGAGGCGGTTAGGGGGCTGGAAAGCAAGACAACCTTTGCCTATTAGAGTTTTTTTCTTTAGGTCAGCGCTTGACATTTGGGGGGTCACTTCCATTTTGCCTGTGGAACACCTTCACTCCTCTCCTCTTGCCTTCCCAGGCCAGTCAAGTTCAAGTTCAGCCCCTGCCTCTGAACCTAAAGAGAAAGCTGAAAAGAGACTGTAAGGACAGGTGGCAGCTTCCCTTCAGCTAGATCCTTCTTTTTAGTGAGAGGGACTTTTAGGGAGGGTCCCTCTTGAATACCTCCTGTCCTTTGAAAGACCTAATATCACAGGGCGCCCAGCTCTGGTGTGACATTTTGAAGATCTTATTAGAACCCTCTGATGTGAGTGAACACCCAGGGTTGGAACCATACTTCCCTGCTCTGCTGAACTGCTTGATTAAATTAATCTAAATCAAGAATATTTCTGTTTCTTCCCAGGAGTTCCATTTCCATATATAAAAGAGAAGTGAGACTCAAGACTCTTTAAGAAGAAAGATAAACCCTTCCAACAGCAATATTCACTAGCATAAACCCTATCAAAATTTTGTTCTAGAGCAGTTCTAATCTCAGACTTCTAGGATTTGTGACAGTCCCCATCAAATGTAGCTGTTCAACAAGTTTCCCATGATCAATCTCTTATTTTGCTTAGTGCCCCCTCCCACCTTGCCAGTTCCTGTGTGACTGTCATTCCTAACTACTTGTACTTTGAATTCCTGCACCATGTTTCCTGTCACATTTGTTACTTTCAGAAAGAAAATTCATATTCTTCCTTAGGTCCTCCACTCTTGTGTTCTTTGACAATTAGCATCTTCCAGCCAGTCGCCTGAGCAAGGAACTTCAAAATAATCTTTGACTTCTTACTAGTAAATGTCTGTTTATGTCACTGCCTGCTTTTAAAATCTTTTATTTTACCATTGCCACTAAGAAAAGGTCTGAATTTTTCATTCTGCTCTTTCATGTGTTGGTTCCAACTTTCATTTCTATCCACTTGCGAGATAACTGCTAGCCCTCCTGCCTGGACTCTGTCATCTTCACCTGTAAAACCATCCAAGCATATGAATAAAGATTACTCTCCTAGTTCTTTTTATACTTGACCCTCTGCTATACTTGAGCTCCTTGTCCATATTTGTATCTCTAGTGCCCTGATCTAAAAATTACATTTTCCAAATGTAATAATAAGGTAAAGCTCTTTCACATTGCTTAGAGGTGCATAACATTTCATTTTTCCAGTGTGTTTGGTTTTTTTTGTTTTGTTTTTTGACTCCTGAGATAAACATAGGTAAGTGCGGGACATTCTTGTAGGGATGTTTCCACAGGTTCCTTTGGCTGGCCCATTCGTGCTTAGGCCAAGAAACTTCGAAGGAGTGTATGTTCCTGGGTTTTGGACAGTTGCTACAATTGCTGTCAAAGGGCAGCACCTGGTACTTTGACACCTAATGAAAGTGAAACCTACCCAGCTGTCCCCTGTTGGTTTTTTTGGTCCAGATATTTATAGGATATTAAGTAGTAATAAAGTGTACATTGGTTATAATAAATAATTTATTTCTTCTTCTTTTCCTTTTTAATAGATAACAAGTTGCTAGAAAAGTCAGATCTTCATTCAGTGCTGGCCCATAAGCTACAAGCTGAAAAGCATGACATCCCCAACAGGCATGAGATAAGGTATTTTGAAACTATCCTGTGTTGCTTGTGTCTCTTCAGTTGAAACGGGTCTCAGTTCAGCTGTCACTTCTCTCATTGAGAGGTACTGTTTCTGTGCTCCAGTTTTTGTCAGTTCCTTTCAGATAAGAACTTGTGAAGCAAGTAACTAAAATCCTCTCTGAGGGTATGTACCTACCCAGAAGGCTTATCAGTAGGTGCTGTAACCCTGAGAAGTCACTCAAGGCAGGTAACTGGGCCAATTCCTCCTTCAGCCTACTGGGTTCGCTTTTTCTAAATAATCACACCAGTAAGCATTCTTGAGCAAATTTACATAGATCTTGTTAATACAGGATTGACTGGTGCATAAAGTGCTTTTTATACAACACAGGTCTATTTGATCCTTTTTAAGTTCAGTGGTTTTCATCATATTTTAATAGAGTGTGAAATTAAGCTAGCAGGTTGCAGCAAGCTTTTTTTTTTTAAGAAAGGTTAGGAAAAACCTGCATTTTAATAGAAAGGATAAGTATTGTTTCATTAAATACGAACATATGTGTTCATGGTGGGGAGTTTGATGTGTTTACGTGGGTCATTCATGCAAACTATTTCTTTTTTTTTTTTAAGGTTTTTTTCTTATTGAGAGAGAGAGTACGCATGAGCAGGGGGAGGGTTAGAGGGAGAGGGAGAAGCAGACTCCCTGCTGAGCAGGGAGCCCAACTCGGGTCTCGATCCCAGGACCCTGGGATCATGACCTGAGCTGAAGGCAGACACCTAACTGGTTGAGCCACCCAGGTACCCCGTAAACTGTATTTCTTTTTGAGGGTCATGGTCCAAAAAAATCCAAAGTCAGACTTTATCAAAAAGTTTAAATAGAATCATTCTATAGTCTTACTGTCTTTTTCCAGATGTTTATCATGTTTGCATATTAAATTTGA